AACTTGACTGTTGGCACAATGCATTCTGGCAGGAGACGTCGTCCAGGTAGACGATGAAAAATGCGATGATTAAGCGCTCGCCCTCGGATGTATTTTACAACATTTACTGCTGTAGTTAGATGTTGTTTTAAACTTTCTGTCAATGCTTTCGACGCAAGTGCATGACGATGCAACATTTCGTAGCGTTATTATAACTTCCGGTAATTCTCTTTTCATGTATGAAAAAAAAATCCTGAATTTTTGCCTAACATTGCTGGGGGTCCATCAGTGCATATTGAGCCAATCACATTCATTGGTAATTGATATTTAGTAAAAAATTTTGATGTGATTGAAAACATCAATTCCTCTCGTATTCACCTCCAGTGGCTCACAAAATAGAAATTCTTCTATCACTTCTTTTTCCTTCACATACCTGACAAATACTAAAAGTTGGCTACAATTATCAACATCAGTTGACTCATCTAGTTGCATGCTTATTTTTAGTGGACTGATTTTTATGCACTTAAAATTACTTGCATTAAAATGTCTTCACTGAGATCTTGTATTCGCGATCGTATAATATCCTTCGATAATGGAATCTGTTGGATTTTTTTATGTTCTTGCGAATCTAAAACTGTTTTAGCAATAATTAAAGCAGAAGATTTAATCATCTCTTCAGCGATCGTGTGAGGTTTTTTTCCCCCACATAAATATGCCACTTAATATGACGCTTCTAATAAAGGTTTTTGAAGTGCTGGTCCGCACAGTTTTAGGATAATTCCACTGGTGTCAAACCGAGCCTTCTTTGGCTTCAAGCTGTTCATACTATGCGCTTTTTCGCTACCATGCAGATTATTGAAATGCTCTAATAACTTTGATGGTTTGAGATTGCTGTTTAAAAATATTTTGGAACACAAGATGCATTGCGGTCGTTGCGTGCCATCTTTTTCGGTTGTGCATCCATAACCGGCATACTTATCGTTTCATTGTCACTTTTTTGACATAGTGGGGTTCACGATAATCGATTTAATTATTTAGAAATAATGTAACATAATATATATAATGTTCTTACGTTTGCAATATCACTGAATCCTATTCGGCTTGAACGGGCAATTAAGAATGTATTACTCTCAAGAGGTTTCTGGACAAGTCAGAATACACAATACACATGTCGCAGACACAATAGTTGAGTCAACTTGACTCAACCTAACACAGGCGCAGTAGATGCAGATACAAATCTATGAATCCGTAGATTCCATTGGAGTAGCACATGCGCAAGCTGGGATAACGTTCTCCGCTTGTATTCCCACAAAGTTTTTTCTCTTTTCTAGCTGCCTGTTCGCTTTCGTTTGTAGCGTTTCATGCTTTTTCGTAGCGTAGTGTATACCTCTTTCCTGTGTCTTCTGCCGATAAGTGAGCTAGGTGCTACCAATTTTTATGAGCTTCAATATTGGGGACAATATTGCAGATTTCAAATATTTTATTATAAGAAATTTAATAAATGATATTTAATAATTTTTATGGTTAGGTAGGGGCTTTTTCCGCACCCCGAAAAATACATTCACACACCCCAAGGGGTGCGGGCACCCCCGGTTAAGAACCACTGATATACAGCTTATGCTATGCCCGAATTTTGCGTAATTTTCGTTGCAATTTTACATGTGACTGAAGCTTTGAATTTTTTCTTTTTTGATATTGTTTTTAAGGTTTATTTACTTGTTTTACAAATTTTATTTCCAAACATTTACGAAATGAGACCGTAAAATTTCAGCCTCATTTACTTTCAGTCCCGATCATCACTCATTTTCTCCGGATTTGCATGGAATAGCTTTTCTCAGATGTAATATTCAATTACATTGATCTTAATTAAGACACAATAACACGCCGAATAAATACTAAATCAGAAGTCAAACAACAAAAATCAGCGTTATATTTACCAAATTTTCACAGTTACAGCAAGAGAAAATTATATCAAGTCTTCTTTCCATCTGTATATGTTGTATATACTTTCCTTCCTTGCTCTATTATTTTACCACTTTATTTGTTTAAAAAGGGACTAGGACCCGCTGACCAGGGTAATAAACTTTCCAGTCCAGCGTGCCTTATGGCTGCATAGGTTGAGCGGATATCTGATCTATTTTCTCGACAATTTCTGCAGAGGACTTAAAATTATCCCCCCACTCCTTAAAACATCTTCATTGAACAGGACGGGAGTTCAAATTATAGATAGATACAGATACCTTTTTGTACTGTTTTTAAAGAAACCTTTAAATTAGTTTACTGTTTTGCATCTTAGCCCATCTATGTTTGAGTAATGTAATTTCAATTTTTAGGGCATGTTGCTTTGCATTTATTTGGAGATCTGTCACCAGATTTTTTTTCTATTGTGTGTAATTCTTTGCGATTTACTTTAATCATCAATATGCTTAAGATTTTTTTTTCGTAAAAGAATGTTTGGCACATGGCCAGACTAATTACTTCATTCATTCGATTTTATTATTCGCTTGGCTAAAACAGAATTACGTCAGTGCTTTGCATTCACAGTTTTACTGCATATTTATAACGCTTAACAGTCTGCAAGAACAGAGCTATTTAGGAGTATTCATAGCTATACATTCATTCATAGTTTATCATCTATCATTTTCATCCACATTTTTTCACATTACTTCATTTTACACATATTTGACGAATGACGTCGGGGAGCGGGGCAGCTCCTAGCCTTGTACCTTTGACAATTACTAACAGATAATTCTTTTCCAAATTTTTATAAAGTTCAAACCGTACACTCAGAAACGTAACCAGTAAAAATCTGACTGTATTTCATCCGGCCTTCCCCCTTTAGTGAAAGAGCCAGTGCATAATGGGCAACTTCGATTAACACTTTATCTTTAAATTTTAGCTGATTTTTTACTTCTTGCAATCCTTTTGTGTACTTCACTAGCTTTCTTCATTTGATTCATATAATGATGATGATTTTACTGTAGATCATTTGTATGCTTCCAGTGACAACAAAATCTCATAGTTTATTTTATCTGCATTAAAATTTATGCATAGCAATTTTATATATAAAGTTTTAAAATTTATAAAGTATTTAGTTTATAATATCCTAAGAAAATACTTTAAATTGAATTAAAAGTACCCTAAAGTTTATACCAAAATATGGTGCAAATTGCTGAGAAGCTTTTAAAAGAATTATATATATGCAAGGAAGCAATAGAATTTTTATGTGAAATTCCAAAGAAAAGGTTAATTTGCACTAAAGCAGCAAAATGAATTAAAATATTAATATTTTTATAAAAACATATCAACATCCTCAGGAAACAATAAAAATACAAACATAAAATAAATAATACAAAAAGCGTAATAACTTCTTAGAATTAAGTAATACTGGCCAAACAATAAAAGCATTTTAGCCATGGAATTAAAAGAAGTTAATTGGGAAAAAATATTAATACTGAAAGAGCAATAAATATCGCTTTAATCAAGCTCCCGTCAGAGGCGAAGAATAAAATAATATATAGTATGCTATCTGGCAAAATTTTAAAGGTTTTAGAAAGGACCAAAGTAAACGTTTTTTATCATAGAATGTGAGTTCGGAAATGATACATTTAAGCGCTAATAACGAAGAAAAATATGAAAGGTGAAAGAAAGACAGGCCAAAGCTGTTTAATAAGCTGTTTAATGTGTGCTGTTTTACAACAGATACTCAGACGAGTCACCACCAAAGCGAAAAACGCTTTAAGTCGTCGACGCATGGATGACAGCATATTTTACAGGATGTCTGGAGTGTCAATCTAGTATAATATTTCTAAGTGTAACACAGAGAGTGATGATGAGATTTTGTTCGGAGTCAATGCGAGTATCGTACACGGTATTTTTAAAAGGGTGCCATAAAAAGAAATCCAGACATGACAAATCTGGTAATCATGGTAGCCAGCGATCAGGTTCACCACTGACATTAGAGCAAAAATGTACGGGAGCATTATGCTAGAACTAAATTCTGCTTCGAATAGACTCAGGCATGTCTTCCAACAACTTCGACAGATTCTGTTGCAAGAAAATGGAGTCTGTCTTACTGACAAGTGGATAGAGTGTATGATCCATTCAAATAATGATGCACCAAACTAACCGATACACTGATCATAAAGCTTCGCTGGCATGAATGTGATCTTGCTGCATGAGGATTTCCATGTTCCCAAACATATGCATTTTGGACATTAAATAGTCGTTTTTGTGTAATGTTGATTCGCCTGTGAATTACATGTCTGCGGGAAAGTACGGCTGTGGAACAGCCACCTGCAGGCAGCAATTAGGCAAACCCTTCACGGAAAGGAGAGCCTTACGCTGTCAGTACCTATACTCTATGTAAGGGAAATGGGTACATGATTTCATATTTTAAAATCTTCCATACAAGCCTTAGACCTAGGTCACATAAAACAGCTCTCGCGTTAGTGAAAGAATCGACCCACCTGCACGTATAACAGTTTCTTCCATTCCAGAGGTTATGTAAATTATGTTCCGCTCGCATCACATCTGCTATCACTGACAGAACCATTTTCGCAAAGCTGGCGGTGTGTACACCGCCACTCAAATGCTTTGAGCGATTCGGCAGCTGTTTCGTCGGAAATCGATCCCTGTGAGCATCTATGGGCTAGATCGTTTCGATTAGCTTCCCTATATGTCAGATATATATCTGCTCCTTCTGTGTTTGTAAAGAAATGCATGCTGTTGTAAGTCCCAGGCAGGAAATAAAGCCATTACTCCCAAATGTCATTGATTGCTATAACCTGAACCTGCTACGAATGCTTAAACGCGTCATTTCCGAACATGTATTCGAATACAAAAAATGCCTATTTTGTTTCACTCTACTGCTTTTTAATATTTTGCCAGATTTTTCCAGACCACTCTGTATATACGTATCGGCAGGTATATTAAAGACAAAATCATAATAACAAAGTTTTCTGAGTGTAATTAAGTATTTTTTTTAGTAACATGATTTATAATCACCTTATGTTTTACAGTTTAATTCAAGAAAATGATATGGTAGCTCGAGATCAAGGTCGACAAGTGGCAAACGAAATTGGTGCCGTGTATTACGAAACAAGTGTATTTACACAGTATGGCGTTGATGAGGTGTTCGAGAATGCCATGAGAATGGCTTTGATTGCTAGACGACAACAAAGGTTTTGGATGAAGAGTTTAAAAAATGTTCGCATGCCTTTACTTCAGGTAATATCTTTTTCACTCTTCTACTGAGAAAAGAAATCCTGTTTACAAATTCCCTATATCTATTTGCTCACCAGCGGCAGAGCGGTAAAGTCACTGAACATTGATAGCTCGATCTGCGCCTCAAAATCCTGGCTGCTTAAACGTTTTTGTGGTTTTCCATATGTGTAACATGTAAACGAGTCAGTTTCCCTTAAAAATTTCTCCATGAAGGCATCCCTATTCTTAGGTAGATAGCCCTCAAGTGCCTTGCCCTAATTAAATGAAACCGAAACCAAACTCTATATCTATTCCATTTTGCGTTAAAAGTTATTTAATGTGTGATTAATTGTCAATATTAATACTTAAATAATTTTAACGACAATTTATCGTAGCAGAAAGAGGTATAGGAGCACCACGTCGAGCTTATATCTAATTTTATTGTTAATTTTCAGTTGCGGAAATAGATGAAAGTTGCATAAATTTAGCCGTATTCAAGCAGTTTTCTTAACTTTATTTAAACTAGGTGTTATAAAGAATTCGAGAAATGTGTTTGATTTGTGTTCCATCATACTATCTTCTCAAGCATTTATTTATTCAGATCTTTATTGTCTACCAATTAAAGGATAAGTAAATCATATTAAGAAAAATGGCGTAACGGATTTTAGTTCAAACACTAGAAATTTTAAATCAATGACTACTCTTGTTCAAATTCCTGATGATAGCTTTAAATGAAAGAAAACTATTGGACGTTAACTTCCCATCAGTCCTAATAAAATTTCGGCTTGTAGTTCTCCATCGTACAGCATAAAAAAAGAGCATCTTATATTTATTCGTAAATTTAAAGAATTGCATCCTTGAAATTATTTTTTCTTTATGCTACATTTTAAAATCTTTCTTGCGTTTCAGATCCCTTACTGCCCACCAGAACCCAAAGAACCTACGGCAAACATCTCAGAATCAACATATGAGAGGGAGTTGCATTCCTTGCTGGACAAGGAATATGAAGCAGACGTTATACTGACAACACAGCAAAATGAACTTCAAGCACACAAAATCATCCTCGCAGCATCATCATCATATTTCAAGCAAATATTTATTTCTTTATCAGAACCAGATCTTACGAAAGAAAAAAAGGTAAGTAAATGGCAATCGTTCTATTTTAGTCAAACTGGAAGTGTTTTGAATGCATTTGAGAAGTTCACGTTAAATAAAGGCTTTGAGGAACATTATAGAGGTATTTTTAGCAAATGTAAACTTCACATTTAATATTAAATATCAAATGTATTGCTTTTAAATAGCTAAAAGAGACTAGTATTTTATAACAACAGTCTTTATTAACGAATTACAAATTTTTTTAGTGTTTCTGGAATTCTAAAATATGGAGTGCTTTAATTATTTTAATTACTTAAATAAAGAACTATATAGCAGTAGTGTAATTAGTGTTAAATGATGTAGCTCGTAATTAGTGAGAGTATGTCAAGAAGGAAAAAAGTTGTTTTTTCTTCACTGTAGCATGTTTTTAGTGATGAAAACAGTCAGAATAGGGAGATTATTTTAAAGAGATTTAATAGAGCATCTTACATGCACTATAAACTATTCCGATTTGCGAGTTTTGCAGAAGAAAGATAGTTTTTGTTTTGTCATGCAATATATTCTTTCCCAATCGTATGTCAAAATAAAGAGAGAGAGAGAGAAATGTATGAAACGAATTATTTTTAAAAAATTCGCAACATTTGTTTTCCTATGTAAAGACATAAATTACGCATTTAAAATTAAATTTTATTTATTTTTACACAATGGACATGCAAGCTTGTGTGGCATAATATTCAAGAGGATGCAGCATTCACTTTTTTGAAAGGAAAAAAAATATTATGATCTCGCAATTTTTATATGCAGATTCCTTCATACCAAGTATGTAAATGATTAAATTTTCAAGGCCAATGAGTGTTAACTTCGGTCATAGCGCGCATCTCTGCTGCGAAACTAGCATGGCATAAAAAGTCGATAACTGAGGCCGGCCGCTTTATCTTCTCTCATTGTCTAAGTTGAAGTTCCCTACAGACACAACCAATAATGCCTTTACCATGGTTTCGAAGATTTTATAGACAATTGGACAACTTCGAATAGCATGAAAGCGCATAGTATGAAAGCCCTAAAGCGGGTTGCTCTCACCAAGCAATAGGCCACCACCTGCACAGTACGGACATGCCTGCGCAAAGGTGCTGGCAAGAATGGTTGCTCAAATGTACTCATCGGCGGAATCAAGGCTCTGAGAGGTGAAGTTGTACGAATGGTGAGGCAAAATCGGATGACTGTGTGACAGGCTCGATCCTGCACAAACGGCATAATTGCCTGCTTTTCCAACTTGCTACAGCCTTTTCCACACCACCCGTGGCACCTCCACCATCTCACGGCGCTTGACTGAGGCGGTTCACAGTGGCCTTTAAGGCTTCTGCCTTTAACCACACAACATCGATGCAGTCGTCCAAAGTGGTGTCGTAGCTAATCATCATGGCTGGCATCACATAGTACTTAGCGTTGAATCTCGCTTCATTCTTGGAGCAGATGACCACCGGGTCAGTGGAGGGACCAGAGCTAGTGGTCCCAATCAGCGATCAGTCTTTGCTTTATAGAGGAGCACAGCCTTTACATCTGGTGTGAGGGTGTGAGGTTCTATCCCTTATGACAGCAGGTCGACCCTACTCATCCTGCATGCAGCTTTAACAACTTAACGATATACGAATGACATCCTGCGGTTATTTGCGTTACACTTTATGGCACGCCATCCTGGAGCCATTTTGCAACAGGATAATATTAGACCTCATACGACTCGCATATCTCTGTATTGTTGATACCCTTCCTTTCTCAAGTAAGGTCACCCGACCTTTTGCCAATCGAACATATATGAGATATGGTTCAAATTCTAAATACTAAAAGTTTAATATGTATGTATGTATGCTCACGCACACACACATATACATGCACACAGTGATTTGCTGCCTCGTGTACAAATTTATATGATAGGTAAGTTACGCGAAGACGAATCGGAATCCGATGGTAATGAAGGGTCAAAAACGCCAGCATAACGTGATTGAGGGAGTTGATGAGGAGCTGGTAAAACGTCCGTATAGCAAAACCACCATTCGAGAACTACCTGCAGCGGTGCTAGAGCAAATATACATCTAGCAGATGTAGCTGCTAATTGTAACCGGCGAACTGCTGTGTGCCTGTACCGAGAGCGCTACCCGATAAGGCGTGTTCGGAACCAGAACTATAGGATTCTGAACTCGAACCAAATACACCGATAGCATAATCAGCGCGTACAGCTACCACAAGCCTTAGAGCCTTAGAAATGTTTTTCCATAAAAGATTGCTTTTGATCAAAGGTATCTGCAGAACAGTCTTCGCGGAGATCCTTTTTCCAGCTTCCATCTTATTCATAGATGGGGCATGGAACTGTGAGAGACCACTTAATAGGCCCTTATGTCTTGCCTGTAAGAAGACTTCACACTATTTTACGTTCAAATAAAAAAAAATTTAACTCTTTTGGTTTTAACCTGGCCTTACAGAAGAATTTTTTTTTTAAATTTTCTTTTATTAACATACAACTGATGAGATAATTTATGCTTATGTTATATATATATATATATAAACGTCCCTATCTCGAAAATGATATGAGATAAGAAGAAAAGGGAATTACCAAATTGTAGAGCATCGTCGATTTAATACGTAAAGATACCTTGTGGACATGAATGTTAAGAATAGAACGTTTTAAACGCACATTTGTTTGTTCGCGATTTCCTACGCTGTCACGTCATGAAAAGATCTTAGAAAGGAAAAAACTACTAGTTATCACAACCTACCTTTATTTTTGATGTTCAGACTTCTCTCCGTCAGATGACATGCACATCTGGACCTTTGTTAGAACTTCATGTTGCACGCGTTGTAGCATAGTAGGTGACACGTTTGCACAAGCATCTGTAATACGTCGTTGAAGGTCTTGCAATGTTTGTGGAGGGGTTGCATACACCTGCGGTTTGAGGTATCCCCACAGGAAAACGTCTATTGGAGACAGGTCAGATGAACGTGGAGGCCACTCTTCGAAATCACTATACCCGATTATTCGTTCTCCGAATTCCTCCATCAGGTACTACTTCACTTGTGACCTCTTGTGCGCAGGCGCACCGTCATGTTTTAACCATCCATTCGAGAGTTGAAGCAAAATCGGGTACTATATCTTGCAGAAGCTCTAAATATCGTGTGGCCGTTAACGTACTCTGGTAAAATATTGGGCTGATTAGCCTGTTATTATAAATTCCACACCAAACATTAATCGAAAACCGTATTTGATGTCGAACGCCGGCAGAACATGAGGGATTTTCCCAGTGCCCAATAATGGGTGTTCTACCTATTATACATTTCATACGGCGAAACCATAACTCATCCGTTCACACTATATCTGCCAACAATGTGAACATAGAGACTGGACCATGGATAAGTGGAAGACAATTGTTTAGTCACATGAATTACGATTTCTCATTTATCAAGTCGGTGGTAGTGTCAGGATAGCCGTCTTCCAGGCAAACATTTGCCCCCCTATACAGCAGGTCATACGCAGGCTGATGGTGGCGGTATTAGGCTTTGGGAACATCTCATGAGCACTCTGGGACCCTTAGTTGTGGTAGAACAGAACATGGAAGCTGCGGACTATCTGAACTTAATGGCGTGTCAGTTGCACCCTTACATGGCGTTTGTCTTCCCAACTGGAAATGGAATCTTCGAGCAGGACAACGCCCCATGTCAAAAGGCTCAATTGTTTTCGAGTGATTTGAGACGCATAAGGATGAATTCCGGTTAATGTCTTGCCCACCTAACTCGCTGGATCTTAATCCGATAGATTATTCGTTGGGACTGACATTTGGGATGTCATGCAGCGGCAGCTCAAAGCGCAAATACTACCATGTCGGAATATCTGGACTTCGCGTGACCTCTGCTTAGATGATACAACATGTCTCCAGTCAGCTATCAAGAACTTGTTACATAAATGCCAAGACGAGTTGTAGCTGTTTTGCAGGATGAAGGTCGCGCAACGCATTATTGCGTAGATGGTCATAATGTTTTTTTCTCTTCAGTGTATAAACCATAAATGCATTTATTATTAAGTGTGGCACCAAAAATCTAAGCATTGATTTCTGGGGAAATTATCAGTAAAAGCCGTATTAAAAATTGAAGAAAATTTCCTGAACGGATACTAAGGGGGATAAAAACTGGTCTTACCTCATACAACACAGCTGTACGTAACGTAACATGAGAAGAATATCTGCATTATTCTAAGACACCTAGAAAGCCGTCTTTTCTCATATAACCTTTATAGGAACAGAGGTAACGGTTCAAATAAAAGATATCACCAACAAATTGGGGAATCATAAGCGTTTGATTTTGGCAGGCCGACAGCCATTCATAAATGTACAGGATTCGGTGTAAGTCTTTTGTTCTACCAAAACTTTCTATGTTCTTACTCGCTGCCTTTTCGAAACAGTTCTATGGAGGAATCTGAGATAGAATCCTTGGTTAAAATCTGGACATTGCACGTGGGGTAGGGAGAGAAAAACTCTAAGTCGCCGTTTCTACACCTAGGAAGAAGCAGGCTTGGCAACCAGCTTTTTATATATTTTTTAAAATAAACGTTTTAGTAGTTTGCCAGAATTGTTAGCAGAGTAAATACAATATTTCGATTTAATATTAAACTTTAAATATATTCATTTTGATTATATATTTTGGAATTCTGCATTTTCTATTTGTCACTGGTACTGAAGGTGATGTCACAGAGGTTAGTGTTTATAAACATAAGCTTGAAACCGTATAAACGGCATTATTCAATTTCAAACGGTCACCTTCAACGTTAGAGTAACGAATTTTTTCCGTGACTTTGCCTTTACCTTGGAAAATGTTTTACCTTCGGCTTTAGGCACATCGATTATGTCCTTATTCAGGACACCAATACCCCAGTGATACGGACAATTCTATAAATTCCCAACAGCAAAGAAGGTCTTTGCACTCATGATTTCGAAAAATTAAATAGTGATGGCGAATTCCCAAACTTCTAGCCAATAAATATCTGACAGGAAGCACTGTTCAGGTAAAATGTAATAACCCCGAAGATACGGAATAGAAAAAATTTTAATATCTAATGACGCAACTCAATTAATATGCAGCTCGAAAAGTGCTGAGTAGTCTTCAGGATGATCCCAAGGTCTATCCGCAACCTTACTAAATACATCTAACAACAAAGCAACAGAAAATATATTATCCCCCCCCCCAAGATTGGAAAAGAAATAAGAAAATTCCCACGGAAGAGATGAAAATCTGATGATAGTGAATAGAAATCACCCAGGTGATCAGCAGTGTAACACCCTCCGAATAGAAATGACAAAGGTGATCAGCAAATTAACACCCTGCGAAGAGAAATCCCCCCAGGTGATCAGCAGACAATGAGTGTTGCGCGACTCTACCTGAATTTCTTTTACTCAGTCGGTTCTCCTGTAAAAAGCGTAAGAATGGAATAAGTAGTCAAAATAAAACAGGAAATCCACCTCAATACGAAAACATGGCGCATTTCTTCCTGTAGTTTTTTTTTAATGTCCTAAACATAAAACTAAAAATACAGTATTGCCAGAGCATTTTAAGAGCTAATTGTTGAATTGTTCGCGACTACGAGGAACCAATAGAAATCGCTCAAAATGACCGATCTACTTCTATTAGCTTCGGAAGTAAAAGAAAACACGAGCAGAATTATGACGGAACTGAAGTTCCTCAATTTGCAAAGAGGGAAAATAACACCACTCCTTGTTGCGAATGAGAATATTAACTGGATTAAATAAAAGGTGTGTCAAATGAGGTTTGGAATACCTAAGTTCAAACTGTGAGCGGATTCTTCATATTTTACCAAGAAGAACATGTTAGTTTTTTTTCCACGGCTATCCAATATGCAGAAAAAATCCAAAAAAATTACCGAAAAGTTTCAAAAAACCTATTATCCGCTTCAAGAATGAAGAATTTCCGGCACTCACTAATTTCCAAACTGAAGAACTTCAAATGAAAAAAAAAGTACCAAAAGCGGCAAATTGAAAGAAAAGAAAAGAAACTTGAATACCTCTGAAGAGCTACAGGAAATCACAAGTTTACTTTTTAACAATAATATCACAAGTTTCCTATATGTATTCCTGAATCTGCTAAAAAATATAAGAAATGCAAACCTACAAAAAGGCTTGCCGTAGGACTCAGAACCACAAATCTAATCATCTGATACCATGAGTGAAAAGTATAATTTCCTTTTCCTAGCATAAGTGCTGGCAAAGTGGAGGTAATGCAGATGTTAGTTTCCGACCTTCAAAAGATTGTTGGTTAGGGTCCCATTCCTCCTATCACGAATTTTCTCACCTCTCTGGCGAAAAGTGCGTTTTTCGCACTTAATACTTCACAGCTGCCTGAAAACATTAATCTGACCCACGCAAGTTAATATTAAAAGTGACCGACCAACTCCACTGAACCTTTCTTATGTTAAACATGCAGAGGAGCTGACATCTTTATGTCTGTTGCCTGAATTCCTCACCGGAAGACAAGCGTTTCTTGGTGAGTCAGGTGAACGGGTACACTTTTTCAGGCACATAAACTGGAATCCTTATCCTGTATTGAACAGAAGTAGAATAGTAACATAGTTTCTGTAACGATCATGAAGGTAATGTTGCTAGCCGTGATAATCCCAGGGCCTGAGTGCATAAGAAAATCAGATGTTGAATTCTGTCGCTAAAGGGGTACCAATAATTTTGTTTTCTAAAGTAGCTTTATCCTCTTAAGTAATGAACCATATTTCATACCTTTCTTCCAAATCTCTTTGTGACAAACTGTTAATTCGTGTTTCTAAATTTAATGCTTTTACTTTTTGCTTTGGCAGTTATCTTAATTTAATATTACTGGACCTCCTAGCAAAATTAGATATTTTGGTGGTTACCTTGGTACAATTTAATGGTCTCGATCGACTCGGGGAATGATCGTTTTGTAGTAATGTAATATTATCAATACCGATATTTATTCCTGTTCTAAAAGTTATTGGTCTCAGATGAAATCTATTTAGGAAAGTTGTTTCCAAGGCAGAATTCATTGCATTTGTTTTATAATTGCTTACACTTTTTATAAGAGTAGCTTTTTAACATCCCCAGGTAAACTATCGTCTGTACTGGTCCAGTGCTCGGGCAAATTATTCCAAAAATGAAAAAGTTTCCCTCTCTTATGTTGATTTGATTTTTGCGCGAACAGATACACATTTCAGCATTTCGATGCTCGAAACTATTTGTTTTGTGCTTCTAAGGCATGAAAACTAAAACTTTTACAACCATGGTAAAATTCTCTAGCTGCACAAACATCAGATAAATATGTAATTTGAAAATTATTAGGTGTGATGTTGCATTTCATCCTTCAACAGTATCTTTACTCACTGATTTGGGTAATGAGCAGTAGACCATACAGCTTTTGTTTTCACCTTGTAATACATATCTTGGTTTTCAAGGCAGTTATATATTGCTTTTGAAGCCACTTTAATACTTGAATTGATTTGCAAATTTGTCCGACGTATTAATAAAAAAGATGCAAAATATTCTGTTTCATAAATATTTCTGGCTTCAAACCAACAAATGAAAATTCAGACAAATTTTAAAATATTAAGGGATCTAAATATGTGATTATGTTAGTTTATTTACTTAGGACGAAGGACACGTGAGCTATCTGCTTAAGGCAATGCCATCGTGAAAGGTTCTATGGGAAACTGTCTCGTATTCATGTTACACAAGGAGAGAACCACGAAAACGAAAACATACAACTAATCCATTCGCTAAATCTGTGAAGTAAGTGAAGCATAGTAAAATATATATGTTAAAAAACACTCACTGCGTTCATTGCGCTTAAATATCGTAATTTAATATTCATCTAATATTTCATTTTAAATGATCAAATAACTCCATATTAATAGGCTGTAGCTCACTTGCGCAATTTTGCCAGGAAAAAGATCTCTCAAATTTGGGAAATCATAGTTTGCCAGATGAGCGAAAATACATACATTTTTAAATCTGCCACCATTTAAGAAGTTATTTGGGGAGGGATTTCGATATATAAAATACATGAGAATGCTATATAAATACCATACGTCAAAATTTCTTCAGGATTGGGCTTCGAGATGTCCTTAGAAATTAAAAATGTTCACTTAGAAATTTTCAATCGCATTCTCTTATCATTGTACAGGTTAAAGACGTCTTCTTGCACCTGTTTCCAGGATTATTAATAATACCTGAGCGCGCAGTTTCGCATTATTATAAGATCCATTTATCATATTTTTCTAAGAGTTATTAATTTATCTTTCATCACTGAAAACGATACTAGGTAAGGAGTTCATTAAATTCTTTCCGTTCTTTTAAATGCTGACGTAGTGTTTCTGAGCAGAAATTTTATGATTGTACTTAGTAGACTTAAGAACGTCATAGTCAGAAGTTTGAATTAATGTAGGCCATTCGAAGAAAAAATATATCAAAATGAACAACTCTATATCTATGCAAAATTTTCCGGATACATAGCTGAGATTCATAAAATTTTAGCCATGCTGGGATTACAATTGAAAAACATCGCTGTCGAATCGTTATAAAGATAAAACTAAAAAGTGCGGTAAATTGTTATAGAATTCCTGTTAAGATAAAATTTAAAATGAGATAAATTATTGTAAAATTTTGCTGCAGAATAACTATTTTGATTCGTCTTTTTTACAAAAATTGAGGAACCTTTTGTTAAGGAAATCGCTCTCTGTAAAAGGAAAAGATGAGATATCAAAGATTATCTGAATTTAGCCAGCTTGTATAAGAACAGTGACGAACAACAAGTCTTCGTTTTATGCTCGAGAGTGTATAAATTAATAAGCAAAACATTGTATTTTGTATTACGAATTTGTTCACGTTAGGAAAAAAACATTCATTTTATGAAATCTGTTTTCTTTAACAGGTGACACTGACCACTTTTCAAAATTTCTCTTCTCGTTCGATTCTGAGTTTCCTGAGGTAAAATATTTTAGATTAATATCTAATTTTACAAAGATATGATTCAGTTTATGAAGTATAATTGGCAAATATAGTCAATGAGCAGTTATGCTAACACAGTAATAATGTATTTAATAAATACTAAATAATGAAATAATAATAAGATGATACTATATAAATACAGTACGTTCACATTCTTTCAATAAACCTTTCATATTTCAGATTTGTATACTGTGACAACTCGAACACGATAGCGTATAATGAAATAGCTGAATTGAAAGAAATTGCAAATATTACAAATGTTGAAGAATTTCAGGTAAGATATTTTGACTGATATATCATTAAGTTCTTTACATGAGGCTTAAAAAATGGTTTAAAATAAGTAATTTCTGATTATTCCATACCCTATAGGATTATTCTATGTCGCTACTCATTAATAAAAAGATCTCTTGAAGAAGAGTGCTAAAGCCATAAAGAGAATGCAGAATGTCACTGTAAATTTGGTATATTATACAGGGTGTATCAGTACACCGGTGACAAAATTTCAGGGAGATACACTTAGACGATGGGAAATCACATAAGAATGCATGGTCGAAAACGCTTTCCTGACGCCGTAGTGACAACACAAAAGTCAAGAAAGAAAGGACATGAACGGGGTGAGAAAACATGTTTATTATTCTGAGTACAACAAAAACAAAGAAAAACCAACATAAAGAGACAACGATCATCATCAAAGAAATGTGTTCGAAATTACGACTTGGACCGTGATGCAGAAATCTTGCGTCATGCATCTTCCATACGATCTTCCATGCGCCAGAGACCTGCATCACGGTCCAAGGTCGTAATTTCGAACACCTTCTTTAATGATAATCATTGTTTGTTTCTGTTCTCATTTGTATTTTCTGCTGTACTAAACATAATAAAACATATTTTATCTTACTGTTTGCGTCGTCACTACCGCGTCAGGAAAGCTTTTCCGACTATGCAATGCTATGTGATTTTCCATCGTCTAGGTGTACTCTAGCTCTCCTAAAAGTTTGTCACCGCTGTACTGATACACCCTGTATAATAAATTATTTTAAAGTTAAAAGAAAAGAATTGAATGTTTTACAGAGAATGAAGAAGGTTGTTGAGTACATGAGTTACAAAAAATCACCTTATATTTAATATCTCATCCTCTTAAAGACAGAAACAAGTTTTTTTTTTTTTTTTTTTTTCATTTGTGGTGAAAAAACAAGAATTGTTTCTCTTCCACTGAGTGAAAAATAAAGAATCCCTGTTTTGTTCATTGAGGTTTTTCCTGTACTCAGTAGAAATAAATTTTGGGTAATGTGTAATTATCAATTAGTTTTTTCTATTATCTTGAAGTCATTATTTCCAATTAAGTTTAAAAAAAACCTACATAATATGGACAAATATTTATATTTTTTGTCTTATTATCTAACCTCCACAAAGATCGGTTCTCAAGATCCTTGTATCCGCTTAATCCTGCACTTCTGTTTCACGCTTTACCTCTGAACTTAAGAATGCTAAAGCTGTCATTACCTTAATCAGTATATTTCTCGCAATTCTGTGGCCCGACCTTTTGGTAAAAATTCGTTGTTATACTTCCAAATCTATTTTGCCTTAAAATTGCAAGACACATCTGGGCCCATGCCTTGCATCCTTGAGCAAGTCTTTAGTTACTGCTGCAGGTTGATGCCCAGTATCTTCTATAGTAATAAATACAGAATTCCACTTGAGAAGAAAGTATCAGCGTCATTTACCTGATTCCGTGTTTAGACTGACAGACTGACACAACTTAACAAAGGTTCATGAAGGCGAATAAAACTGATAGAAATGAAATGCTTTTTTGAAAAGATCACTTCTCGTTCTGCGTTCCTGAACACGCCTTAACTTGTAAGCATCTTCCGAATCAAAACTCGGTCGTTTGCATGGTCTAAAGAAAGTTGGACGCTTTTTCCATGACTCTTGAAATACTTATAAAATCCATATACATATATAATATGTAGAGAGAGATTTTTATATATGCCACTCGTAAATGTCTTTTGTCTTCTCTCTTAACCATGTTTTCCCTTGCTGCAGTTTCTCAAGATTTTAGGCAGTGTGCTTTAATCATAATTCAATAAATCCATATTGATCCATAGAGTCATTATTTAGGGTGTTATTGTCTACTTATTTTCAGTTTTTTACCCAGTTTATGTTATTTCTTCTTCTGATCTTAGTTTCTTTGTAGTTCACTTTGTTTCTTTCCTATCAGGACATCGTTTGATTTGAAACGCGTTTTCCCGTATTGCCTGTCCTTATCATTTTCAGTTACTTCCCATAGTATAGCATTCTAACTTTCTTTTCTTGGATATGAATTTGAAAATTATCATCATTTTCTCAATATTGATAAAAGCACGGGAGCTTTGAATAACAGCCTCGATATACTCACCATCATAAAAGTTCACGATATTTTAAAATAGCTGCCTTAATCAATATTGAATTTACTATTCTTGTTTTCATGACACGGCTAACTTTTTATTTAATCAAAATGCAACCCAAAACTGTATTACGACTTCCTACTACGGTTCTTCATTCTTTACTTTTTTTACTTCCTTGTACGAAGTAAAAAGGAAGTATTGTAATCGCGAAAAGTTTCAGGCGGCATATTTCAACGAAAATATCCATTTTGACCGCTATCGAATGCAATTTAACGTTGTTTTTGCGTGATATCTGTACGTAAGGACAGAGAATAAAATACTCTTTTCCTTCAAAAAAATTATAAAACTGCTTTAAAATTAATTCTGAAGAGAATATTTCTTGGCGTCTCTACGAACGTATATCGCATAACTCAAAAACGAGTAGCCTCAGAACGTTGAAATTTTGTATATAGGACTGCTATAACATGTAGATCCACTCTGTTACCCGGCTCAGTGATCTCAGTTTCTTTACTCAGTTTATATGTTTGTAAATTGTACATTTTTTGCTTTAAAAATGATTGTATTATGTTCTTTTTTATCTTCCGGTTAAGGTTTTTATGCCTTTATAAATTCTATGCAATATTTTTAGAATTATCAACAATTTTAAAGTAGTTTAAGTGCCGCTAAGTCTAATCCTTTTCTTGATGACGGCTATTGTTTGTTTACATTTGAAACAGCACACTAGTGGATTTGTTGCCAATCTAGAGAAACGTAGCTTCGCAACAACAAAGATAACGCATTCATTTATTATTGCCAATTAAATCATGCTTAATTCTTTCTAGAATTTTTTCGAGGAAATAAGTGTTTAAGATTTACTTCGTAATTTTTAATATAGAGATTTTGAGTTTTAATGTATTTTTGCCTTCCCGCGAAGTGAGAACTGAATTAATTAAATGAGAAATACTCAATCGTCTGTGAAAAACTGTTTCTTTTTTGTTTTATTTGCTTTATTTATTTTATACATCATTCTAGCTTTATTATAGTATTTGAATAGAACATGTGGCAACGATTAGATAATTCTATTCTTTAAATGATATAAATTTTGTGCATTATGAGTTATAATAAGAAAGAAATATATTTACTGTTAAGTGAATCGAGCGCCAGAGTGTCGCTATGGTAAACATATACTAGAGTGAATTTTAAAGAATGCATTTATTCTATTGTGGTTTATGCACTGTCGGCGAAGTAGATTTAATTCAATCCAATAAGTTTAAATGAAATGCAAGATAAAATGCGTATAATTTAATATTCCGTACAAGGAAGTCATGTGATGTACACATCAGATTTTTTACTTTATAATTCACTCTCGCTCTCATTAGATTGTCGTCACAAACATTACAACATTCTATCATCAACATCTATCACGAGTACTTGAAATGAAAATGTTATGCCAGTATTTAACTTTCGAATAAAATTTCGTTTCTTTACAGCGTGCGTACATTTTTTATTGTGTTATTTGCTGCTTGAAATTCCAAAAATTATGAAAATATAATTAGTACCCCTGTGGCCTAATAATTGACGTAGTAAACTGTAACACGGATTATTGATGTACAAAAGTTGAAAATGGCAACAATGTCTCTGGAAGGGAAGACAAATGCTTAAAAAGACAGAGAATAGGTCTGCAATGTCTTGACTTAAGGTCACAGATGTCCTGCCAGGCCTTTACTTATGGTCGCAGTCCCTGATCTATTAAATAGGTTAAAATATCATACACTAAGTTTCAACAACAGAATAAATTAGTTACAATTTTATTAAAAACCAGGGCTTAAATTTAGCCGGAGCTCACCGTAGCCCGGCTTCGGCACTTCTAAATTTTTGAGTGAAATTATAACTTTAGTCGGATTTTACTTTAATAATGAACAATTTGTAATTAGCTTAATCATTTTTTTTATTTTTTTACATATAACTAAATTGTATTTGTCAATTATTTATCATTTTACTTATTTATTTATTTTCCTTTTCCCTAAAGCCTTACGAAAGGCTCTGAAACTTCCAATTCCAGAAGTTGAACCTATTAAAAATGCCAACCAGCGGCCGAGCGGTAAATTCCCTGAATACTGGTAGTTCGGTCTGAGGTTCGAATCCCGTGAACGGGCTGGCTGCATGAGCGTCTTTGTGGCTTTTCCAATGTGTAACGTGTTAATGCGAACCAGTTTCCCTTAGAAAGTTCTTCACGAAGGCATCCCTCCCTTCCGTGTAGTGCCTTAGCGTGGAACACGTAAATAACAATAATAAACCTCTTAAAAGCATTCTCATAAATTTTCAGCTAAACAGCCAGAAAAATATTGAGTTTAATGTGACATGTGTGTTTTATAAATTTGAAAGTTTTTCTGAAAGTATGCTTTCAGAGTTCGAAGAGTTAATAAACTTCTACAGCACATTCACAAAAATTTTATTCAGAAATTTAAAGTTTCCTTCCTAGTGCAAAACTCAGATCACATGTAAAATAAAATTATTTTCTTTTTTTCAACAGACCTTTTTAACAGCTCTAGAGGAGAATGATAATTGTACAAAATTGGAATCACAAAAAATGCACATCAGAAAGATGAGCTCCAACTTGGAAAAATTAGGTCTACAGAAACAAAGGTTTGCAGGTAAGACTATTTCAGCATCTGGGAAAATGCAGCTAGAGAGCTGTTTTTGCAAAGTTAATCTTTACTTATTTGAGTTTTATTAATTTTGTTGGCAAATACATTTTATCTTACAGACGTTACTTTTAAAGTTGATAATGGAAAATGCATTGCTCACCGTTCTCTTTTGATGGCCCGATGCGATGTTATGGCAGCCATGTTTGGTGGAGATTTTCGCGAGAGTTCAGCTGAAGTTGTGAGTTTGAATTTTCTCATAAATTAAGAGTTCTCAACTGCTCAACTTCTAATTCTTAACTGCTCGCAGAGTTGAGATATCATAAATTATGTATAATCTATCTTAACGTTTAAAGGAATTCTTTTTAAAAATTTATAAGATTTATAAAATAATATAATCTTTATAAAATTTAGTGTTTGATTGAAAACTGACATTTCAAAAGACTTAAATCAGTAATCTGCTTAAAATATTATTGCGTGCGTACAGGTTTGTAATAGATTGAATGCACACAGGTCCGATGATAGGTTAATAAATTTATTTTTGTCAAATGAAACATTTCAAAGTTCTGTAATTTCCCATAGAAATGCTCGTACGCTGCTTACGCTGAACTAATAACTCAGTTTACATTGAACTAATAACTTGCAACAACAATAACTCAGCGCAGGTGCTCTCTTCGGGCCTTATATAGTTTTCAACTACCGCAGAGATATTTCTAGTACTTTCTGCTTCTCGAAATTACTGGAAAGCAACATAACGGTCGAATTACGGTTGCAGCTAACATAGTTATCAATTACATTCATTGAATTACAATACCCATTCCGATGATACAGGGACCGCACCAAAATATCACCAAATGACCGCCAAATTTGACAATTTTGGGAGATTTATCACCAAATTTGGTAGCAAAATAAGTTTACAAAACCGTTGTCAGCTAGGCGATATCTTGCTAAATTAGAGATATCCATTTACTCAATGTTAAATGAACTTGCCCCTCTAGTTTTACTTTTCCGGCATAGCTCGTCTGTTTAGATTTTTCATATTTTATATTACAAAAGAAATACAACAATTTTACTTATAATTCCACTAAAATTACTTATCTATGTACAAAATTTGTAACAGTATTAAGTCTGCCTAAGCCTGCCCCAAACAAACCCAGAAAATTCTCTTTTCTTTTACTTAAGAATATTCCTTAGAGTCCGTCCTTCCACCTCTGGGTTTCGTCTCCTCAAGTAGTAACAGAAATTAAACTTCGAAATATTTCTCTCTCAGTGAAGAATTTTTCCTTATTTATGTCATAAATTTCATAATTTTATTGTTGTTCATATTTTACCTTTAAAAGTTTTGATGGAATAAAGAAGATACTGCGAAAAAGTGAAGCTATTGAAGTCTCCTTGTAATTTGTTTAAATATTCTGTCCAGTATGAAAACAGTCCTGTCCTTAATCGAGTTTCGTATCAACAGTTCGACACCTCGTGATTCTTCACCTCATCAGTGATCGAGGGGATATAGATGGCTGAATACTGGTATTTAGACTTTAATTTCAATCCAAACAACGTGTGCTGGTTATCTATGTTTACGGCAGTTTACCTTGTACAGACATTAGGATTTTTTTGGAAGCAGGCAAGATGAAAAATTAGCAAATGCCTTCGCCGAGAATCGAACCGTGGACCTCTGAAATACCGGCCCAGCGTGCAGAACCACTACACCACTAAGATACGCCAAGAAGAAGGGAGAAATACTTTATATACTCCCCCTTTTAAAGGGCGACTGGGATTTCAAGGGACCCAATTGCCAAATCCTGGGTATGGAGAATCATCATCCAACACCCTTTTAGTTCGGGCGCCACTGTAGAGACATTAGGATATTTTTATAGCAGGAATAATGAAAAATCAGCAAACGCCTTTGCCGGGAATCGAACCACGGACCTCTGGATATCGACCCAGCGGGCAGAACCACTACAGCACGAAGACACGCCAAGAAGGTGGGAGAAATACCTTATAACCTTATGAGTAACATAGAGTATGTAACGTTGTATTCACGCAGGTATGACGTGAATACGAGCCAGTAACCCTTTCATAACGTGAATATTAGCCGTTTTCCATGTTTAAGCCTTTCGCGGAGAATTATTCCTTCACGAAGACATCCCGGCCCCTTAGACAAATTACCATAGTGAACTTTGCAGTTACAGTTACAGGGGACATCACGACATCGTCATTGGCAAAAAAGGTATAGCCCGCATATATTAACTAACTAGAGAACTGCACCCCCATGGGTATATCAGTGCCAAGCTTTGGGTCTTTGTTGGATACTATTAAAAGGCTGCATTTTGCAGAATACGACAATAGTTACATAAGGTTACATTTCATTTGTGGGCTTATGGTACTTGTGCACAGAAAGATAATTTGACAGGGTATTGGGAATTGGTTATGTAAATAAGCATAGTAATTAAATTAAATCCATAATTTGAAAAGCTAACAGACTACGAAATACGGTATGAGAATACAAAAATACAAAATACAAAAAGCAGTGTGCATTGAGAGAATTACATATTTATGAGGTTGGTGCTTTGGTATTGTGTTTGTGTATGGGTATGTAGTCGAGGGTTCAAAGTTCAGTTCGTTGAATTATGTGCACTAGTAGTTCAAAGGTCAGGTTCTAGTCCAGTTCGTTGGAACATGTACACTTTTGTTTTGTGGTTTGATTTATGGGTTCAAAGTCGGTTCATTCGCATTTTAGGTGTGTATTGCAGAAACTGAAGGCATTCCCTTGATGAATGACTTCTTTCTTTTTACTAGCTGGCGATGTCTCTGTGGTCTTGAAGGTAGTAATGGCTGGCATAAGTCAAGTCCGTACTGATGGAGTTTGTCGATAATTGCCATAATATTGCTGGGGATGTTTTGATGCTTAATGAGGAATCTTTTAAATTCAATTTCGATGTTGATAGGATGCTTGATGTGATGGCTGTAAGTCAGCGGACAATGAAACAGATAATGATCTGCATCACCCCTTTCACCACAGACACACATGTCCGTTGTTGACAGATTTCTCTCGTAAAAGTATGTGGGGAAGTATGTGTGCTGTGATGTATCGAGTCAGGAAATAGGAAGTGATGGTACATGCTTCGTCTACTTTTTAAAGGAAGCTATAGGTCATTCGTCTTTGCAGACCGTCTCGCCATTGGCCCTGCCATTTTTCTAGTGACAGCTGTTTAATCTTGTATTTTGAGGTCCGATTGTGGCCATGGAATTTGAGTGCTGTCACCTTCTTGCTTTCTTGCTGCATCTTTCCCTCGCAGTCCGCTCTCTCGTTTCCCTCGCAGTCGTTATGACCCTTGGTCCATGAGAGAACGAACTTCCTGTTGTTGTTTCTAATGACGTTTTAAATCGTATGAGCGATGGGCGAATTAGGGCACTGTCTTGTGATTGAGAAAATGGATGGTTGACTGTCTGTTATGATATGTATATTATCTGTTGGGGCTCTGAGGAGGATGTTGATGTTATTGAGAAAGGCAATAAGTTCAGCTTGATGTACGCGGTTGCGTTCTCTCAGATGACCTTGCCATTCACTGTACAATCCTGTTGCTGTTCTGATGGTTGCAGCGCATCCAACTTTGCTACTGATTTGGGTGCCATCTGTGTAGGCATGATAATGTGTTGAAGGTTGTGGATCTTTTAGGTTGCAAACTAGATTGCCGAGTCCATCTGCAGAGTGTGTAAGAAATTTCTTAGGTTTTGTTTCGTAATCTGTGGGGAGAAAAAGTACATCCTGGAACGTGACTGGTTTCTGTAGCTGGAGAACGGTTGCGGTTGTTACGTCAATTTCTGCTTGGATGGGCAGTGGAAGGATTCCTGTCAAAATTTGCATTGCATTTGTAGACGTAGTGTTAAAGGCTCTTGTAAAGTTGATTAAGAAGGGTCGTTGCATTGAATTGAGGACTCTTATTTTTCTGAATGTCATCGGAATTGCCCATATTGCAGCACCATAAGTGATGATTTTATTAGCAACTGTCTTTAGTAGAATCTTCATAATGTGCTTGTTTAGACCCCACGCGTAGCCTGTCATACTTTTCAGAGCTTTGGCTATTTTGAAGGTTGTGATCTTTTTATCTTGAAGGTGCTGAATCCAGGTAAGCTTTTGATCTATTGTTAGTCCGGGGTATTTGATGCCTTTTACGCATTTTATTTTATTATTTTCAATTTTGATGATGGGGTTGCGGGTGATAGTGCGTCCTGGCTTATGGAAAATTATGGCCTGGGATTTGGGTGTGAGAAATTTGCAACTTGATCTGTTTGCATGTGTTGAAAAGGTCCAGCGTTTGGTTACAGTTATCTTGTAAATTGTCTCTTGTCGGACCGCTAATTGTGAATGCCACGTCGTCGGCAAATGCTACTATTTTCGTGTGCGAAGGCCAGGGGTGGTCTATGATTTTGTTAAAAGTGATGTTCCAGAGGTCCGCACTCATACACGATTCCCTGTGGGTATCCTCTTGTTTGCTTTCGGGTGACTATAGAGTTATTACAGTTGATGAAGCTCTTTCTGTTAGTAAGATAGTCTGAGGTGAGTTCGAAAAGATTTTTTGGGCAGTCCATCTCTCTGAAGGCCTGCTTAATGGCAGGCCACCAGAGAGAGTCGAACGCATTTTGTAAGCTCAAGCTGAGAAGGGCTATATGCAGTTGATTGCTTTTATTTGTTTGGACCTAAGAAATTGCAGCGTCTATTGAATCATCTATATTGAATTCTATATTGAATCGTCTATCATGGTTGAACAGTGAGGTTTAAAGCCATACTGATGCTTGCTGATCTTCTTAGTATGATAAACATGAAATTTGATCCTGTAAATTAGTAGACCTTCGAGTAGTTTGCCCAATGCTGGGAGTAGATTTATGGGGCGGTATGAGCGGGGGTCCTCTGGAGTTCTTTTTTGCGAATAACACAATTTGCCAACTTTTGAAACTTTCTGGAAAGCATTTCAGACGAAGACACTGGTTTTAGATTGTTCATAAGAGTTCTAGACTGGTCTTCTGGATGATCTTGATAATTTGATTATTGATGCCATCTATCCTGGAGCCTTTTTGTTGTTTAGGGCTTTCACGTGCAGTAGGAGTTCGTGTTTCGTGAAAGGTCTGCTGTACTGTCTGGTCGGGGGATTGTTATTGTTCCTGATTTGCCTCTGTGCTGGAGTGTCTTGACTCTCGTCGTCTTGCAGGGAGACATGGTCTAAGATATTTTCTAGGGTATATGAAGTTATGTTATGATTAGTATTCTGCTTTGTTGCTGTGGGTGCGTGGATTTGTGTCGGCTTGAATATTTTAGAAGTAGCCATTTTGTACAGTTGTCCGTATGTATCATTATTTCTAGTGCAGAAGTTCTTCCAAGACTTGAGTGTAGCTTCGATTATCAGTTTTTTATAAAGAGCTATTTGCTTATTTTAGGTGATCCAGGCCTGTTTTTTTCTCTTCGTCGGTGGATCAGGTTTTCATTCTTCTTCGTATCGCTCGAGTTTTTTGGTGTGCCGCTCGTAGCTCCTTGGTCCATCAATTAGTGCGAGTGTTGTTGTCTTTTGTCTTCGGTTCGAAGGCGGACTGGCAGAGTCCTTATATTTGTAAAATAAATTAATCTAAACTTTTTTGTAGATCTTGTTTGTTGTTGGCACTCATGATGCTTTGCATGAGGGAATCTGTTATTGGAAGACGAAATATGAGGAATTTTTTCTCACCTGACTTGTTAACTCTGAAACGAATCATTTAAATATTTTCTGGAGCTTGAGTAATGTCAAATGTGATGCATTTGGTCGTTCGAGACACTGATGTCGTCTTTGACAGTCCTGTTTTGAATCATGTTGAAGAGGTGATGGCTGGTGAGGGTGAGATTAGGCCACTCCTTTCCGTTTATTGTTGTAAAGGTTGGGGGGCATCTGGACAGTTGCGGATCATCAAGTTGTTTGGGTTGATGTATTCCTCCACTGTAGTGCCTCTTGGTGTGCTGTGATGGTAGCCCCAGATGCTGTTATGGACGTTAAAGTCTCCGCAGAGAATGTGTGGTGTGTTTGCAGTTGCAAGGCTTGCGTTGACTTCCTGCAGGCTGTTCTCCAGATCTTCTGAGGGTGAAGCATAGGCGCTGGTAAGAAATAACTCGCCATCTGTCGTGGTGATCGCAATGGAAACTACATCTCTGCTAGCGTGGATGACTATTGGTGTCCGGTATTTGTTTAGAACGATGACTGCTGCTCTTGGTGGTAGTTTTGGATTAGAGTTGTTCTGTGTAAATACGTTCCATGTTAGAGGAAGATTTCTGATGGATCCTTTATTGCAATAAGGTTCTTGGATGAATAGAATGTCGTGGTAGTTTTCTGAAATATATTGGATGATGTTGTCAGTTGCTGTGCGGGAACGCTGTAAGTTTATTTGTAGAGCTCTGTTTCCCTGAGCAGGTGCTAAGTTATGCTGTGGAGTTGTTGGGTGGTTGTCTTGCAATGTGTTGTTGATACTTTGGAGATTACTCATGGTATTGAGTACGGAACTTGATTCTTAGAACTTCTTGGTAGGATGGGCATTTGCTGTTATAGGCAGGGTGATCGCATGGGTAGGTGGTGCCGTTGTGTAGGTTATTTAGCTCGCACTTGATATAGTTTGGTGCATTTGCATGGCAGTTTCTTTCATTGTGCTTTCCTCCACAGTATGCACAGGGGGTTGGTAAGTGCAATCTTTTGAGTGATAACTTAGTACGTGGCAACTGAAGCAACTGCGTGCTCCAATGAATTCTGTTATTGCAAAGGTATACCAGCCAAATTGTATGGTGCGAAGTTGCATGTTTCTTTTAAAGGATTTGGCATTGCATTCGACGATCCACTTGATAGTGTTATTACGATCTTTTAACTTGAAGAGAGGCTTGATGTAGTCTGATTTGCTAGCTGTTATTGGTGTCATCCTGGTGATGACTGCGTCGGCTGTGGTGTCTGGTGGAAGTTGATGTATAGCGAATTTTAGGGTATCTCATTTTTGGAATTTTAGTATTTATCATGTCCGCTGCCTTTTCTGTGTTCTTCATGATGTGTTCCAATTTGATAACGTCCTTTTTGGTGTTGCAACTGATAGTCAGACCTCCTTGCTTGATGGGAATAATCTTTTTTTATTTGTGTTTGCACTTTTACTATAGGTAGGATTTCCTGCAGCTTGTTTTGTAGTTTAGAGACACGTTGTGCATCTTGGAAGTATAGTAGTAGTGTTGGTGCTTTTCTTTGAATAATGGTATATTTGGATAATGGTAACTTGCAGCTATATTTGGAGTGTGAGGCGGAGAGTTATTTTGCTCTCTTGTAGTTGGCTGTTCTTGATTGCATGCACGATCCTAACAATGTCATTCCGTTTGAGGCAGCGTCTCTTGACTTGTTCGTCTCGTCTCGTTGCTACCTTTAATTACGTGATGATAAAAAGAAGTGATGAGTTCAATCATTGAACTTTGCAATAATCCAATAAATCTCAATTACACTTTCTACTCCGAATATCCATGTTATAATACCCTATAATATTTCACAGGAAATAAGTGGGCCGTACGGCATATTTTCCCGTGTCTGATTTCCACGGACCACTAGCACCCTCATGGCAACGTCACTGATGCGATCTATTTAGAAACCCAACATGAACCTGTCTTCCAGTAACCCAGTTCCTCATGAAAGATATATTCGGCACTCTATCCACTTAGATGGTGCATTTCCTAATAACACCGATAAGTCGAATGAGATGATGGTCTTGAATCATAGCATCAGCAAGGTAACTATTCTGCGGCAGAAGTTCTTGGACGTCCAGGTTCTTGAGTAACTTGCAAATCTAGCCTGCCTTTTCTAGTATAAGGTATTTATTTTCTCCCTCCTTCTAGCATGCCTTCGTGGTATAATGGTAGCACAATCGGCGAATATTCGAGAGGTCCAGGTTAAAGTCCCGGAGAAGGCATTGCTCATTTGCCATGTCTCCTGCTTCAAAATAACCTAGTGATTTTACAGTGGGGTCCGAACTAAAATGGTGGTCGACAGTAATTGGACCAGGATTTGGCAAGTGGGCCCTCTAATCCTTCAGTCTCTTTTTAAAGGGGGAAGTACATAAGATATTTCCTCCCTTCTTCCAGCATGCCTTCGTGGTATAACGGTAGCACATTAGGGGTTTATTCGAGAGGTACAGGTTCGAATCCCGGCTAGGGCTTTGCTCTTTTTTCCTGTCTCCTGTATCAAAAATCATAATTACTCTGTAATAGAACCGCAACCAAATCTAATTTGTTCACGTGACATGACATTAGCGTGCCTTCAACAAACTGATGGTGAATTTCTGCTAATAAGGTACTTAGGAACCGTGTCACTTTTCGCACTTCAGTATTCGGCCAGTTTCCCGTAAGGCAACGATTAAGGCGGATTCCGAATGCTGCGGGCCCACCAGCGGCCGAGCGGTAAAGTCGCTGAACACTGGTAGTTCGGTCCGAGGTTCGAATCCCGCGAACGGGCTGGCTGCATGGGCGTTTTCGTGGTTTTCCCCATGTGTAACGTGTATACGAGCCAGTTTCCCTTAGAAAGTCCTCCACGAAAGGCATTCCTCCCCTTAGGCAGATAGCCCTCGTGTGCTTTGCCATAATTAAATACACCACCACCGAATGCTGCGATCGTTTACTGAGCCCCAAGCAGGAAATTTTAATAACAGGATGATCAGCTGTTTTGATGGTTTCAGGAAATTTAAAAAATTCTTCAGAAAGCTTGTTATTAGTGATCATATTCATCAGAAAGTTCGCGACTGGCAATCGGAAATCTCATTTTAACATTTTTTAGGGAGGGGCTGATTTTACTAATTGCTTTGCTGTTATGTATTTCCTGATGAGTAGATTTATACATATTTTTTTGAGAAAATTTTAGAGTTTAAGGCTGGAAAATCTTTCTTGTGACAGCTGAAACAATCACATTAAAGAGCAGAGTTTTGTAATATATTTCAAAACGTTTACGGACCCTAAAACTAATTTTCTTATATTCCTAGCATGTAAATATTTCAGTAATTACGCTCTGCTGTAATAAATAACTTAAAATACTTTTTAATACGACTTACATATTATACTTACTTTCAAAATTATGTAGAGCTATATATTATAAATACTTTCCAAATTAAGTGCTTCCTATTTTTTCAGATCCCTTTTCCAGAAGTTTCGAAAGAAGCGTTTGATCAGTGTCTTTACTATTTATACACAGACTGCATTGAACAGAGCATAAATGTTCAGAACTGTTTACTCATCTTAGAACTTGCAAATAGACTTTGCTTACGACGTTTTATTTCATTAATTGAAGTGCACATCATTAAAGAGCTTAGTGCTATGAAAGCGGGAGGAGTGAATTTGACTGATTACGTGTTCCGGTTTCTAGAGCCTTCCCAGGTACGTAATTTTGATCCTGTTTCATCCGAACTCAATTTATAAGAGATTTTAAAAACAAAGTTAGAACTATGATATATATCCGAATTGTCGATAATAAGTAAAAGAAAAAAAATTCTCAAACTCGCAAACAAACTCGTAATCTGAATGATGTCTTTCATTCCAATCCCTCATGATAATTAGTGTGGGTGACTAGATAAAACCCAACAGACAAAAATGCACAGGACAAAAACGCGAAAGAAAGAAAAAAAAAAAAAAAAAAAAAAAAAAAAAAAAACTGCGGTAATTGTCCATTCGACAAATAACCACACCCAAAAAAGCTCACATACATAAAAGCCCATATGTATATACGCCACGTAGAAAATAATAATTCTCTCCTTTATTTCAGTTTATATAAAGCAAATACATAAACAAATGTAAATAAATAAATTAATTATTTAAATTAATTTAATTAAATAATAAGTTAAAATAATGGAACACATTTTAATTTGGTCTCCGGCTGGAATTAATTATATATTATATATACATACATGGTGCGTGCATGAGTGCGCGCGAGTAGAATTGCAAGGAATACAAACTGCACGTAAATTTGATCATGCAAAAAGAATAATTTTTATTACATTATAAATTCTTTAGCAGTTTCAGAAAATGTTGTATGTAATGAATTTAATTAAAGAAGAATTAAAGTCGAATTTTTGTTTCAGAGAAAGATACAAAAGTATCTTATCGTGAATATGAAACTTTTTGTGTGCGCAGTCAGAAATACACTTATAGCAGTGAATTGAAAACAAAATTTCAAATAATTTATTTAAATTTAATTTATTCAGCTTTTACGTAACTTAATATCATTATTCATTGACGAAAAACCAAGAAGGAATTGTGTTAGATAAACGAAATTTGGTAAGCATGTTTATACATCTGAAAGGTGAAGTCTGTTCAAATTTCGTGCTATTCGCATAAGTGTGGCGCTAGTAGCGCCACTATGAACATGTAAATCAGATTTGCTTCAGATACGCGCTGTAAAGTTTATGAGCATTATTTACCATTGAGGTTTAGCATTGTTTACCATTAGTGAGTTGATGTTAGTCGAGAATGCCTTTAAGAAGATGAAAAAGACCATTATGAACATCTGAATGAGTTTGAACGAATTCGTGTAATAGGGCTACCAGAAGGTGAATATTCTTTCGGCGATATTGCAGAAAGATTTGGTAGGAATGCATCCACTATGAATAATTGTTGGCCGCAGTAGTCAAGGGAAAGTACTGGCTCAAGAATATCGGTTTCTGGGCGGCCACTTGGCACTATTGAGAGGCAGGACCGCCGTGTTCCGCGTATGGTTGCGTCCTGCTGCGTCTGCAACAAAAGTTAAAGCTGTAGTTGGCATTTCAATGAACTGTTACAATCCGGTTACTTGAAGGATAACTCCAAGCCAGACGCCCTGAGCGTGCATTTAACTGACTCCAAACCACTACCGTTTGGGACCTCAATTATGTCAAGCTAGAGCTCATTGGATTACAGAGTGCAGACCTATTTTTTTTTTCTGATGAAAGCCAGTTGCCTTGGTGCCAGTTACGTCTGTGTGTTAGTTAGAAGGAACCCAGGTGCGCGTCTGCAGCCAGCCTAGACACATTGGACCTATACCTGGACTTATGATCTGTGGAGTAATTTCGTATGACAGCAGAAGCACTCTCGTGATTATCTCAGCACTCTGACTGTAAATTTGTACGTCAGTCTGGTGATCCAACCTGTTCGGCTGCCATTTATGAATGAACAGCATTCAAGGGGGTGTTTTGTAATAGCATAACGCTCTTCCTCGTACCGCTGTTGTAACCAAATATGCTCTATAGAGTGTCGACATATTGTCTTCGCCTGCTAAATCACCAGATCTTTCTATATTACAGCAGGTATGGGACATCATTGGACGACAACTCCAGCATCATCCAGAATCAGCATTTACCGTCCCTGTGTTGACCGACCACGTGCAAAAGGTATGGAACTCCATTCCACAAACTAACATCCAGAACCTGTACGACACAATGCATGCACGTTTGCAGTGTGCATTCACAATTCTGGCGATTACACTGATTATTAATGTACCAGCATTTCACATTTGAAATGGCTTTTCTCGCGCTTGCATTATCCTGTGGTCTTAAAAACTTAATAAAATATGTTACTTGGACAAACCTATTGCCAAAATTTCATTACTTTACATTCATTTTTTCTTATTTGGGGGATTTTTTTTCCCATCAGTGTAACTTGAAACCTCACATTTAATCATAATGATTATTCTTTACAAACTTTTAAAAAGTCCTAATTTTATTCTGTGGGCTTTTTATGAGCCCATCGTCCTGTGGACTTTTATCATGCAATCTTCTAAGCTGGTTACACATTGTTCACTCTGTTACAGCCGGTGAGCCATTTACCCCCAAATGAGTGAAGAAGCAGTTAAAGAGAAAAATTCTTGCTTAATTTGCAGCATATAAGAGCATATAGGTGGGCCATTAGGGTTCATTGAGAAATAAAATTCCTTTTTAAGAATTTAGAAATTTTTATTAAAAAGGAAATAGCCTTATCTGACATTTCGCTCGTAATTGTGCATAAAAAGCCCATTTCTTCCATTTTTCTTAGCATATTTCTTTAATCATTTTATCTAAAGAATTGGCTGGAATTTCAAATGTTTTAGAAATTTTCAACATCTTACAAATAGAGAGGGGGGGAAATGAAAATATTACTGAAGATGATATGAATATTTTTCTTAATCCCTTAAAATTAATCCATTATGAAAGTCATTTTAAAGTGGGTAGTCCATTATTTTAGCAATAGACTAAAGACTTGAAAAATATGCAAATTCTTGATTGTCTTGTGCCTTTTTAAAACTTATTTGATGAACTTATTAGAAATGTCTATTAAACCGAAGCAAAAGCATTGTTTAAAAATAAAGCTATCGAAATATTTTCAGTTAATTAAATTATTAAAATTTATACAAGAGTAATACTTTTTATTTTAGGATTAGTATGGTTGAAAATGAATATAGTCATTCTGAACGTAGAAAAAGAATGATTGAGTATTAAAGCTTACAAACCATAAGTCCAGAGCAGTAAAAAAACTAATCTTGTAGATTTAAATTAAATTTTAATTCAATGAAAAATATTAAGTGGCTTAATTAATTTAATTGCTTTTTAAACTAGAGTTTATTTCAGGCTACCATATTTGTTAATATTCTAAAAGCTTTTACAAAACAAGTTTCAAGTGCGTTTAGAAACTAAATTTCACTAGACGATAATTCCGGATTATTATAGCCTCCTCCAGAAAACCGTTGTTGAGATGAAAAATTCTGCGGTTAGTATTCAATTCTTTAAAACAGAATAAAAATGCAAAATGGGAAACAGCTCCTTTTTGGGTTAATTCAATTGTAGATTGTATTTATAAAATAAATTACTTTTTCTTTCTTTTAGTACATTTTTGAATCATCACAAGAAAGCTCGCCGTTTCTCCCAAAATGTCATATGAGTCCAATTTATATATTTTAAAATTTCACGAAGGACATTAGGGGTATAATCTCCACAGCATGGGGATATTGTCTGATTTTGACTTATCAAGAAAGGAAGGTAAAGAATACAATTTTAAAGCGATTTGAGAATTTTTATGGCATGATCTCACTGTTGCATAACTTATTATCCCTAATTAGCTTCTTTCGAGAGTTTGTTACTATTTATGCAAAATGTTTTGTTTGTAAATATTTTTCAAAATAGTAGAATACAAATGTATTTAAAAACTATATTGTAACACTTATACAATATTAAGAAAATTTCGTATTATTTTAAGTAAAAACAATTTAAATGTACAGCATATTTTTATTAAATTCAGAATTGTAAAATATTTAAAATTTTTTGAAATTGTTAAAATTTCAAAAAATGGAAAATTTTGAAATGTATTAAATAATAAGCTTACCTCAGTGTATTATATTTTACAGCACACTTCTATTTAATTTTTTTTTACAATAAAAAGCATATTGTATACATTTACTTAAATAGTTAGAAAGATTTACTTCAAAACTTTAATCACTTTTCATAAAATTTGCATTTTAAATTCATAATTTTGTTATATAAAGTCACATGATATATATATATATGTGTGTGTGTGTGTGTGTGTGTGTGTATGATGTACCAGCTTTTGTTCGGAATAAATAGATTGGTGAAGAAATATAGATGTAGTCGTAGCTTAAATTATCAGACGATAAGTTTAAAAACAGGATCCATTTATTATTGGTCAGGAGAAATAGCAGTTACAAAAATCATATTTCCGGAGTAAATAAAAAAGAATTACTAATAACATTTTGTATGAAGTTTACTGCATCGTTACATTAAAGAGAAGACCCCGATATTCCTTTGCGAGCCCTTTTATAGCCTCTGGAAAGGCGGAGCTTCCAAGAAAGACGTCAGCAATTCCAGTTCGCTTTAAATATCTCTAGAACATTCTATAACTGTACGTGTAGAATAGGCGGGAAAAACAACTTGACTACGGGGCTGTGGATTTAATTCCACGTACTTTGAAATAAGAGACCGTCGCCATTAAAAAATAAAATGGACATACAGTTAGAATTTTAAATGTATTCTTGACTATGGAATTTGATTATTACACACACACACACACACACACACACACATATATATATATATATATATATTCCTTTTCTGACTTCTTTCCTTTTTAGGTAACTCTTTTCAGTTTCTAAAGTATTAAATATTCACATTTCGTATTTATTCAGCAGCTAACATTTTAATCAACTTTCAATGTCCAGTGAACATGCAATCTACCTTTCTACTGTTGCTATTACTGCTAATAAGAAGTTAAATATTATTAGTTGAATTGCTGATCTAAATCGATTCCAAACAGATTCTAACAATGGAATTTATTTTATAAATTGCTTCACACTCTCATAGCATTATCGAATAATTAAAATAAATAAAAAAAATTACGTATGTATGTCAAATTGGCCTAGC